TGATGTCTAGAAATGTTACTATATCGCGTACACAAATATAAGAATTTATTCTGTCTACTATAGAATTCCTCTTGCGCGAAATTTGAAAAATATTTTCATACAAAGCGGCGTACGCTTTGTAAACATGCGCGCTGCGGGGTGCGTGTGTGCGCGCGTATATGTGTATTATTGTTGTTGCGTGCTTTTATTTACTGTTGTTAGCACAAGACGCTGGTATCCATGGTAATATATAATGAGCGCACTATGAAAACGACTGCAGTGAACTCGTGTCTTGCACCATGAACCCTATTGAATCGCATCAAACCGCAGCCTCTAACACGAAGAGCAAACACTTTCACCGGAAAATCATTTACCGCAACTGGTTTTGCGCTCGGGCTATAATTTTTATGACCATACAAAGCTCGAAGGAGGTAGTTAGACCACGCTGCGCTTGACAGAAATAACATAATGCGCGCGAATGATAAAGATCCCTTTTCGTCTGCGACGAATAACGCGAATATTAGCGAGCAAGAGTTTAGCAAATAATATCATATAGGCCCCTAATGCCAATAATCTCACTGTGTAGAAGCATCTAGGGCCCAATATACACCGAGCTATAGTCTCTGTGCTATGCGACTGATTCAGAAAGCCGAGTAGCCCTTGCACCGTTCTCGGTACCACGTGATCGAATGACTGGGATCGTCTGAGATTCCAACGAGCAAAACGCGAGCGCTATAACAACGGCATTCATCGTTTTCAATATAATAATCATGCATGCATGCGATAGTAGTTTGCGGCTTTTAAGAATGCACGTCGGTGCCATTGTTACGCCGTGGCTCGCTGCTCTAGGCATGCCGCTATTGATATCGTCGCCGCACTACTACTAGAACTACAGTAGAAGTTTCCGCTTTATCGACGCAGATCAGGAACCATGAAAATATCCCGATCAAGCGATGGTCCTGATTAAGTAGTGAACATATAACGTGCGTAAGGATTGCGTGTTAAAGGCAGATGGCATTCAAGCGATGCCCTCGTCTACACGGAGACCACTGCACTACGGCAGTATAGTAAGCCCGCTGTAATCAGAGCTATTAGTCATAAGGCTATCGGCTCGTTTAGATGGCAGCTGCACATGACACCTTGGCGACGTGTGCGGCGCTGTTGACGGATGTAACGCGAGAGGGCGAGTTCGTCCGACCGTCTGTCCACCGAGCACGCGCCAATCGACATCTGATGACAGCTGCTCAACTTTCGACTAGTGACCGTGAGATAGGGTGTTGTTCTAGCGAAGCCGGAACGTATTAATATTACGAGGAACGAATGAAAATAAATATATTTTAATCGGTCCGCATAGAATTGTAAGAGCTGCGGGCGAGTATATATATTTATATATATATATATATACATATATATATATATATATATATATAT